GGGTGTGGGGGTATGTGAGTGGGGGGGTGTGTATGTGTGAGGATGGAGGTGAGGGGGGTGTATGAGTGTGTGAGGGTGTGTTAGAGTATGTGTATGAGGGACGGAGGGTGTCTGTGTGAGGTCTGCCTGGCCAAGTGTGCAGTGTTTGGCAGAGGGGGAGGCGTGTGTGAACGTGAGTGTGCGCTGGGGGCGGGCTGATGTGGAGGAGTGGCCGCGCACAGACTGATGCGGGCAGAGTGGACAAAAAGAGAAAAGTCTGGTCTTTGAGCGGCTGGAGAGGGAAGAAAAAGGGCCTCTTATTGGTGGTTGTCAAGGAGATGGGCCTTGGGGCTTGCGGAACTTTTCTTCCTTCAAAGCGTCTTGCCTGGAGCTGAGAGGAGCCATTTATTTCCAGCTGGGCCTCCAGGGCGTGGGTGCCAGTGGGTCCCCAAGGTCGAGGGGCTTCAGGTGTGCCCCAGGCCAGGTCCTAGCCGGGGATAGGGGTGAGGGGCCCATCTGTACTTGATCTGACACCCCTCGCCCCGCCGGGCTGTCACTGGAAGGTCCAAGGTTCCCATTCCAAGGGCACCAAATCTCGAGCTCAGGAGTCGCCCCGAGGGTCGGCCGTGCCCGCCAGAACTGCGTGGAGACTCAGTGTCGCTGCGAAGTCGTGGGTCCCCGCTGCCATGCCCGGCCAGGGTGCCCTGACCTACACTAACAGAGCATCGTCCCTCGCAGGCTGGTACAAAGTAAGCACGTGCGTTTTCAGACGACCATGCAGTGTCCAGTGTCCACGGCCTCAGGTCCCTCCTGGCTGCCCGCCCTTTGCACACAGGCGTGCTGGATGAGCGCTCACCATGGACGATGCCCGCGTCCGCTCCGTGCGTTTGGATTGTTACCGGACGACTGGAGGCCAGCGGGGAGCAGTGTGCAGCCCCCCTTATGTATGCTGGGAGTCACCCCCCCGAGAGTGCCCACCATCGACGACAGGGTGATGAGGGGTGGGCTGGGGACAGCGAGTCCCTCCCGCGCCCCCACCCCCCACCTGCCGCCGCCCCAGAGGAGGGGGCGCCTCCGCCCCGCCTCCCACCCTGAGGGCTGGCCGTCTGCATCCATTGGCCGACTGCGCGCCAGCTCCACCCCCCCGGGTCCTCGGGCCAATAAGCGCGCGCTGTCACCTCGTCAGCCCCAGGACCAGGACTCGGAGCCCAGCGCCCGCTGAGCCGCAGGCGGAGAGGAGCGCTCGGAGCGGCCGGGTCTCCACGCGCACGCCCGGCCGCGCCCGCACCATGGGCGCCCGCCAGAGGCGCACGGCGGCTGTGCCCTGGCACTTGTGCGTGCTGCTGGCGCTCGGCGCGCCGGGGCTGGCGGCAGGCAGCGGGCTCCCAGGTAAGCGCCCAGACCCGCAGGCATGGGGCGCGCGGGGCGGCGAGACTGCACGGAACCCTGGATGGACATCCACCCCAAGACCCCGAGCCCCTGCCACAGTCCCGAGTCCCGGGGGCCCCATCCCGGCCGCCGAGAGGAAGCCTCGCACCCTGCTCCGCGCCCCCCGTCCCTCTTTGCAAAGTAACTTCTGGGACATCCCGCGCCCCTCCCTGCATCCCTGCGGTCCCGGGCTCCCGGTGCCCAGTGCCTGGGGCTCGAGGCGAGGGCTCGACCGGCCCTTGAGGAGGACGAGAGCGCAGCGGGAGGGATAAAGAAAGCCAGCGCCACGGCCGCCGCGAGTCCGGGCGTGGGGACCCAGGGCGGGGGGCCCCGGAGCAAAGCGCGCGCCCCCATCAGGGATGGGTTCAGGAGGAGAGGAGTGAGGGCGAAAGAGCCCACCTGGAAGAAGGAGGGGAAGTGGCCAGAGAGAGGGATGGACAGACAGCGAGGAGGGAACAGACAAAAGGACACGGGAAGAAACCCAGCGAAGGATCCACAGGACAGGGAGAGCAGAAAGGCCGGAGCTGGGCGGAGGGAACGCTGCGAGGAGAGCAGAAGGGTGGAGGAAGCCAGCGAGGGGACCCTAACCCGGGGACCCACAGTCCAAGGGGGAACCCGGGGAAGGTGGAGAGGGCAGCGGGACCCCGATGCACAGAAGGATGCTGACAGCGGAGAAGAGGACAGAGGGGCGGCAGGGACTCTGAGAGCAGCTGGATGGGAACCCCGAGACACCCAACTCCGGAGAGGGGTCCCCCGAGGGCGGAGGGCGGCTGCCGCACAGGGGGAGGGGCAGGCGCGCTCCTGGAGGTTCCCTGACACCGCTGCCCTCCCGCCCCGTCCCCTTCTGTTCTCTGGTGGTCTACATGGGGCTCTGGACAAAGCTGATGTCTCCTTCTCTCCTCCCACATCTGTGAAGGACGGAGTTTCCTCTCTCTCAGATCTCTCTCTCTCGCTCGCTCGCTCGCTCTCGCTCTCGCTCTCTCGCTCTCCCCTTTCTCTCTCTCTGTCTCTGTCTCTCCTTTCTCTGTCTCTGTCTCCCTCCCCCTTCTCTCTCTCCCTCTCTCCTTTCTCTCTCTCTGTCTCTCTCCCCCCTCTGTCTCGCTCTCCTTTCTCTCTC